GTAGTTGCATTGGACAAAATACAAAGTGATACACTGATGTTGGCAGAGGCTGTTGAGATCTGGAAAGAATTAGAGGGAAAGCTACTGCCTATGGGTAACTGGGTGGTCACAAAAAAGTTCAAATCCAGGCACAACCAGCCCATAACACCAGCTTATCTCGTGACAAACCTAATTCATCCCACCCAAGGAGGCAAGTCTGTCACAGATGATGAGAAGGATACTGCGGTGGAGTATGCCAGTCAAAAGTGGCCATCCATCATGCCAATGATTGTCAAATTCCAAGCCCAATCATGACCCTTTCATGCTTGCAAGTTAACTTTAATTAAAACAATGATTTGGCTAATTTTTCAAAACCTACAAGTTGAGTTGATGTTGATGTAGGTGTACATATAGGGGTGTTTGAATGTGTTAAATATGTTTTACAGTTTGTAACCCTGAGAGCAGCGAAGAGGCTCGCACGCGAGCCCCTTTTTTTTGTTTCTTAAAGGGAAAATACAACATTTGCAAACATCAAAAATAAAACTACCAAATCATTTTGAAATACCTTGCTGGACTGTTAGTGAATGACAGTGTAAAGCATCCTGTAAAATCATGGCACCTGGTATACTGTCATTTTCAAGAAAAGTGGTATTTTTGTATCAATTTCCGACGCTGATCGGCCGACCAGCGTTGGAAAAAACTGTTTTTTTTGTCAAATACTGGCCCCAATGGACCATCGCATTTGTTTGCAATCGATTACACACCTATGAACGGGTACAAGCCAGCTAGACTCGTTCCCTGACCTTACAATTCCCCAATGTATGTAAACTGCTCTGTTTCTTCTTAAATGGAGTCAGGGAACCAGACTACAGGAAAATGATTGTTTTTCTTGGTTTTTATAGCATTTTTGAACCCAAAACATCAAAAAAGTCAGTGAAACTATATTTGCTATATATTTCCAACCCCCCAATTCCATCCATTTCTGAAAATTACAGCAAAAGCAAATGATGTATATTCCCTTTACCTTTTTTTGTATGAAGCTATCGCCCAATTCCCTTGAAACTACATGTAATCTTAAAGTGAACCTTGTGGTTTGAGATGGTATGGTCGCTTTTCTTGTAGGAGTTCACTTGGGGGTCAGCCACCCCTGGGAAAGTTGGGCCTCCAGCCAAAGCCCATTCACTTGTGCACAAAAAAAGTTCTTTGTGTTTTACTGCCTAGTTGAGCGCCGTCACAACAATGCCATCAATCATCCTCTACTGCTGGCCATTACATGTTGGGGGATCCAACCTGTAATGGTCACAGTGCATGCAGTGTATATGTACATGACTGTGCAGCCACAATGTCTGTGAGTGACCTACTGGAGGGGATTCAATCTTGTGTGGGTTCGGGACAACCTGCATTCATAATATTTAAACCATTAGAGAAAGGATTGTGTCCACAAAATAGTATTTTATACGCGAAATCAAAACTGCCTCACGCGTGAGCACCTCATGGCCGCGCGTAAGTTTTTACGCTTCGCCACTCGCAGGGTTTTAAGTTGAATCAGTTGCTTTAAATGATTAAAATGATATCTCAATGACTCAACTTTTTTGCCATTAATAAGATTAAAAACAATAGTGATTTTAAAAAGGGGGCATTCTGAGCTTCAAAGTAGCTGAAAATTGATTTACTGTCGTTGAGGGTGCTCTACAGCTAGCAGGCGCATAAAGCCTACTTTCAGGCCTAATATCGATCTGGAATAATTTTTTCTTTTCCAATTTTTTTGTTGGAATATAAATAACTGGCATTTCAAACCTTCAGGCCTATTAAAGGGTGTACACCGGTAAATAAGCCTAAATCTATCCGCCGAGCTCATGTATAAAAGTTCTACCCTCAAAATATGTTATATTAGAGAGTTCTGAGAGCCATAACATTGGGGAATTAAAGAGATGCCCGGACTTGGGGCTTCCAGCTCAATTGCAATTTGAGCTCAAAAGTGGCGTTATTTTGCCATGTTGTGGAGGGATCGTTTTTCAAGATGGCTACCGTTCCGCTTTGGGGAAAATAGGGGTCGTCTTCTTTGGGCGAGAATTTCTTGAAAAGTCAATGGTCAACCCACCAAAAAATGAAAAGAAAATGAAAGATGACATGTTGATCATCATTTTTCTGTGCAGCTTTTAAAAATACCTGTGAGAGTTCTGAGTATTTTTAAAAAGAATTTTGAAGTATGGGCATTTAGCACTAGTGTCTATGGGAATTTTAATGCAGGGTTGCACCCTGGTGGGAAAGGATCAATAGGGGGTAGAAGGAAGTGATGATGCAGGAGGGAAGTAGTAGTAAATGTGGGGTTAATTTGAATGGGGAAGGAGGGTGTTAAAGGAGGTGTTAAATCCCGGGTTAGCCAGGATCATCTGTAACAAATCACAATTGAGGAAAAACTTAAAGACTAGTGTCCGATGAGCAGAACATAGGGTGTTTCCTCATTTTATTTATTTAGTTTTGGCTGTTTCAGCAACTTGCCAAAACAGCCTTGGTTTTCGTTAAGATTTTTATTTTATATTTTTTCCCCTATTTCAGCCATTCCCATAACATATGTACACGTTTTCTCCGTGCGTGGCACTTTGGGAACTAAGATCAATCGACGCACTTAGACCAGCACCCGGAGATAAGTGCCGAACATTGATGTCATCATCACGAGTCACGTGACGGCACATTAAATGTGCATATTTTGAAGGCCTTTATCTACAGAACTACAGCTCCATTCAAGGCTCGATTTACCCGGTGCACGCATGCACCAGTGCATGTAGATTTTTGCTTGTGCACGTAGCTTTTTTACTGAGCATGCACGACGTGCATATAACTTTTTTAGCCAACAAAATACTCATTTCATGCATATATTTACCAGTGAGTGAGATTAAGAATAAAGTTTGTTGAATACTTGACCAGATAGTGTACAAACGTGTTATTTCTTTTATAAATCCATAAATTATTCCTCGCACCATGCTCGCACAGTCGCAGCAGATTCAGAGTACGAGGTAAAATTCAAGATCTCGATGTACGTCCTGCAACCTCCTCCGATCATGCATGTGATTTACCACGTGATACATGCTGCAGATAATTTGGTATCGCACTGATGCTCCGGGCATTCCTTATGTCCGGATCGTAAGTGCGATTCCAAATTATTAGCTGCGTTTATCACGTGGTCTCGTTATTGGCCAATCTGACGCCACCTATCATATGGCGCCACATATTTTGCACGCAAATGTCCAGGGTCATTTGTCAGGGTCTCTTGTCAGGTTAAAATCTAATTTCTACACGTTCGTATGGGTCTTCATCGATGTCAAATTTCGTCGAAATGACACATCCTGAACACGCGGGAAGGCAAATTTAGATTTCTAGGCGAGTACTGAACATATGTACGAAATTATGTATGGCGGATCGATTTCGCCATGTTCGAAATGCCACAACAGTGTGGCTTTGCCACGTTCATGGGTCTATATAGGCTTGAGCATGATAGAGTAAAAAAGGCTATGTACTGTACTGTCTGTCGAAAGTTCGATAAATTTCAAAGAGAAAGAATGCCTTCAGAGAAGCAGACGGTGTAAGTCAATTATGGTGCATGTGGGTTTTTCTTGGTGCATGTAGGGTTTTTGGTCTACATGCACCAGTGCATGCCACTTTGTTTTTGTAAATCGAGCCCTGGCTCCGATTGGGTTAAAAGTTGGTATGTATCTAGACTGGGATGTGTTATAGCTCAAAATGGAGGTGAAGTCATGATGGCATCATGTAATATTTTATGATTTTTGTTTGTTTTTGAACCTTAAAGCCTTATCTCATCAAGAGAACATGCTAAATTCAAAAAGAAAATTGTAATAGGTTTGTTAGTTCATACAAAGTTGCACACAAATGTGTGAGTCATGATGACGTCATCAAAAATATGATTTTTCAAAACACATATATCAGGGATATTTTGATCGTCATGAAACTTGGTGGGTAGGTAGACAATGATACTCTTATGCAAAACGTGAAATGACGTCACGATGATGTCATCAATTTCTTTTTCTTTTTTTTTCTTTTTTTTTTTAAAACTTTTTCCTTCATACAAAATTTGACCTTATCTGTAATCAGATCGACCCCAAACTTTGTACAGACAAAGACCATCAAGTAAAGGTTTGTATGGTAAAGTGACGTATTGATGACGTCATCACGTCTTATGTGACGTTGCATTAAAAGTGCATTTTTCAATGTCTTATATCTAGAGAACAAGTCCGACTGGGTTAAAACTTTGTTTGCTCGTAAATATTAGGCTGTTAGTATTTAAGTTGAAGTGACCTCATGATAAAGTAATCAGGTGATTTATTATGGATTTTTACATTTTTATATTTGTAAACATAATTTACAAACAGATGATTCATAATACAAATTTACAAACAGATAATTCTGTGGCCAGCACGGTGCTGTGCTGGCCAGCACGTCCCAATGATGGCTGTGCTGAGAATCTGGTCCTTGATTCCTTATAGCTTGCGTAGGAAGTCTAGGGTGTCTTGAATATACGATAAAATCTGTGGGACAAGGTGTTTGAGAAAACTGTCAATAAATAGGAAGATGCCTTCCTAGGGTGAACCATAACCATTACCTACTGAGGTTACTGGCATTGTGAAGGTTGGAAAAAAATATTAAATTTGGCAGTCCTACAACAGTCCGTTGGAAACAAATTTATGGCAGCTGGTCATGTGATTGTTTATCGTCCAGCACCTGTTGTATCTCCTGACAGAATGTACCTTTGAGATCAGACTCAAGGCAGATGATTATCCAACTGGCGATGGGCCTTGTTGATTGACTGCTGATTATCCTTGATGACCACAGCTGAGTCATTATCTGCTTGCTTGATGGCAATGTCTGTATGAGAGCGCAAGGCGTTGAGTGACAAACGTTCCTTGAATTGTATTTAGAGCAAAAGTACCAAATTATAAAGTTTCACCATGTTCCATTTTATGAAATCAAACAAGTCAAACTTAATTTTTTTTGTTATCCCACAGATATGTACACTCCCCTAATTGCTGCTGCATCTAGTGTACAGGAGGAGCATTATGTGACTTCATGTTTAACCATCCTGCTTGAGAGAGATGCTAGTCCGAATGTGCATGAAAGGTATAAATTCATGTCATAAAACTTAAAACTCCATTTTCTGACCGAAGCCCTAGTTTCATAATTCTTAATTTGAGCTTTTTATTATATACAAAGGCATGAAACTTTTCGGTTTCATCTGGAATTCCCATTTTTTTACAAACTGCCACGTTCGTTTTGAACATGCACAAAACAAACGCCACACCTTGGCGTTTTGAAAAGAAGGCGGTAAGGACTCTGCGCGAGCTCCTCGCGAACGGCCGTGACGTAATGACAATGCGCAGGCAGACGGGAGCGACGTTGTGAGAACTCCACGGATGTGCATGCATCAGGACTGCACGTCTCCTCTGCGTCTCCTGTGTCTATGCCGTTCAAAATGTGTATACTCAATGACTATCGCCCGTTTTGGCACGAGTATTTATATATATGCCATGCTCCTGGCTGCCGACGTCACACATACGTTTTAAGGTCGCATCGAGTGCGCGATAAGGACTCCAGGAACGTCGTACGAACTTATTGGACACCATGAGGACGCAGCGAGGACGCAGAGGATGCTGCGCAGACCTCTAATTGGTCTTCAATGGAACTCATGGAGAACTCCGCAAGGACACTATGGAATGCCACAGGGACGTCTTAGACTTGTGGTGGGCTTCACAGAGATGCATTGCAAGCCACTGGCGCCATGAATCCTGCGTCTTCATTACGTTTTGTTGCATGTTTAAGAATTTCAACAAAGCAATATGAACGCCATGCATGGATGTTACAGTGTGACAGGGCCTTTAGCAAGACACTTAACCATTATTGTGTTAAGCTGTAGGTCCCGTGAGTATGCACGTTAAAAGAATCCAGTAAGACTTAACACTCAGAGAAGGGGTTTGCCCCTGTGTTTCTGGCAGTGCGTTTATCTTCAACCACATGAAGGTAGCACTTGAAAGGAAGGAAGGAAGGAAGGAAAAGAAAAATTGTCTAAATCGGCAGAATGAGCTTTCAAATATTTTTTAAGTGTGCTTTTTATTTTTTGAATGAGTTGATGACTTCTTCAACTCATATTTTAATAGCTCTGAGTCATCATCAGGTATGGGTAGTCACGTCCATTTATTTTCAGATATTCTTAAAAAGAATATCTGTATCATGCACGAAAAATGTGTATAAAGGAAAAGTTTTAAAAATCAGCATCCTACTTCGTTCATCTTACCCAACTACATTTGCATATTTCCTTTTGCTGGCAGTCCAATTCGCTAACTTGACCTATCACGGTAGAATGGCATCAACGTAGCTTGTGAAATATTGTCCAATTTCATGATATTCAAATGAACGCGGAACGCACAAAATCTGAGACAAACAAAACTTAGTGTACAAAAATTCCATAGGGTTGTCTAAGGGGCGTGGCTAACTTGCAAACGGCGATAGGTCAATAATACTCCTCTTGGCGCCCACCCATGATGCCACACGGCGTCGCTGCCATACATAATCTGCCTCTTTTCTGTTACCAAAGCAGGCGAGATAGACATGTTTTTTACTCTATCCAATTACAATGTATTAGTTTTCCTAGAAAATAATTCTGTAGAGTTGTCATCAGTTCTTCAAGTAAGTTTCATGACAATCAGACTTGCCCTTATACATGACCGGTACATGTATGTGTTTTGAAAAATCATATTTTTTTATGATGTCATTGTGACGTCACATATTTTTTAAAATTGTGTGCAGATACCTTTTACCTAACAAACCTAACACAAACAGAATTTTGAATGTTGGGTTCGAAAGATATGGGGATAATCTTCGAAATTTCAAAAACCTATATAAAATCACAACATGACGACAGCGCTCCTATTCGGCCTTTCCACTTCTCCCCTGGTCTTTACCAAGATAGTGAAGACAATTGGGACCGCGTTGCAAAGATGCAGAGTGATATTCATGTAGCTGGATGACTGGATCATCATGGGTCCACAGGGAGTACATGGCTGTGATGCTCGGCCTTACATGCAGTGGCGTAGCCGTGGGGGGCGACAGCCCCCCATGAAACCTTGTCGCCCCCCAGTCGCCCCCCACTGAGATTTTGAGTTTCTAAAAAAATTATCATTGATCTATATGACGCCCCCCCCATGAAATGTTCCAGCGCCCCCCCCCTCCCCCCCCCCCCCCCCCCCCACTGAAAAATTCCTGGCTACGCCACTGCTTACATGGCGTCTCACGTCGGACCTCGGATTTATCATCAACACCGCGAAATCCCACCTGCTTCCTTCCCAGCTCCCAATATTTCTGGGAGCGCAACTTGTCCTCCAGAAGGGGTCTGGCCTGTCCTTCAGAGTAACGTGTCTTGAACCTTCAACAGTGCATGTCCCTGTTCCTTCCGGCAACGGTGGCCCCGGTTCAAGCCTGGCTCTGGTTGCTAGGCCTCATGGCCACCATGGTGGACGTCATAGATTTTTGCAGGTTGAGAATGCACCCAATCCAACTGCACCTACTGTCTTTTTACCGGCCCAGTCGTCACCACATAAATCATCTGGTGCCGACCACGGTGCCTTTCGCAGGCCCCGGCTGTCACTGACCATCATGACAGACGCGTCATTTTCTGTCTGGGGGGCCGCCCTCCACCCCCGCGTTCTTAAAGACGAGGCACACAAGCAGGTTGATGGGACCCTAAACACCGCTCAAGCCACATAAACGTACTTGAGATGTTGGCAGTCTCCAATGCTCTTCAACATTTTCGGGTTATTAGTCCAGATTCGATACGACAATGCCACAGTTGTGGCTTACATCAGTCGCCAGGGGGCACAAGGTCTGCCCAGCTGTGTGCACTCACATGGTATCTCCTATATTGGTGTATGCGTCACAATGTCACGCTTTCAGAAGTGCACCTCTGGGCGAGGGGAACGTCGCTTTTTCTGCTGATCGACTGATCACACATTGATCTGTTTGCTTCTCGGAACACACACCAATTACCGGTCTACTGCGCGAGACCCAACCCCTGTGCATGGCAGACAGATGCACTGGCGATTCAGTGGGACAGGCTGCTTGCCTACACCTTCCCCTATTCTCCCTCATCCCTCAGGTACTAACCAAACTGGAGCAGGAGAACTGCAAGGTCCTCATCACAACTTCCTTCTAGCCCCTCCAACCATGGTTCTCAAGACTTACCAGACTCTTGGTTCACCAGCCAGTGGTACTTCCGTGGAGAGCGGACATTCTGTTCCAGCCCGGCTTGGTTTTCTTTATCTGGCTCCGCAGGAACTGCACTTGACATGCTGGGTGCTTTCACGCAATCCCTCCGCACGGCAGGCCTTTCTCAATGAGCTGCGGCTATTGTAGCTTGCAGTCGAAGAGCATCGACCAGAAAAATTTGCGACAGTAGATCACCATTTAAAAAAGAAAATTGGGGGTAGAAGCCGAGCTCTGTGTCCCCCCAATACTTCTGTTGGGGAGGTTGCATATTTTCTGGTGAACTTGTTAGAAAGTAACCTTGCTATAGCCGCAATTAAAAAATTAACATATGGCAATAGCGGCTATTCATGAAGGCTTCCTGAATGGAACTTCGGTGTCAAAGAGTCTAGCTCTCAGCCAACTAGTCAGGGGGATGTTTGTTTCAGGCCCCCTGACACAAAGGCTGGTGCCTACATGGGACCTCTTTAACGTTTGATCAAGATCTCCATTTGAACCAATGGGCAGTTCAACTTTGTTACAATTGTCCATTAAAGTTGCCTTCTTCTTTTTAGCAGTGTTTCGGCCACACGACGTAGCAAACTGCATTCCTTTACAACAGAGACGAGCCGCATCCGTTGGGAACCGGGGGGGGGGGGGGGGGGTGTCCGTCTGACCCCTAAAATGTTTTTTTGTCTAAGAATCAGTCAGAGTCCTTTTCGCCTCCGGACATCTTTGTCCGGGACATCAAATCTTTCTCGTCCGTTCCAGACGACAAATTTGGGTGCCAAGTCAGGGCTGTGAAGTGGTACATCACGAGGTACGCGTCTCAGTTAGCATGTTCAGGCTGCTACAGTCAAATCATCTTTAAAACAAGGACCTTGGGACTTTACAATTACCTTGTTATAACAGGTATCTTGTATTATCAGTATGAGACAAAGAAAAAACAAGGTCTTGGGACCTAAATTATTCCTTGTTATAAGCAGGACGTTGTATGAACGGTGCTCTTATTGCCAGACTGAGTGCGGTTAATATCCTTAGCATACAGGGCATCTGGGCTCGCTTGTTCACCCACATGTGGAACAGTGGGGCCCGCCAAGGGTTACGCCTCATATAACATGTGCCCCTGTAATTATACAATAGCATCTCGAATGACCCACCGCCTTCACCGCGGTGCAATGCACAAGTAGATTGCTCTACAGGTAAGTAGAGTGACGTAGACTCCAACCTGGCACTCGAGAAAAGAGGACGCTCACCAGGCATACATGCTGTGGGGCACTATGAGTGGGACACAAAAGGGCGCTACTTTGTAAACTCTCAAATACCTACCAGTCCAGGGAAATATGCATCTAAGTAGATTGCTCTACAGGTAAGTATTCGTTCGTAGACCCCATCCACACTTCTGTTGGGGGAACCTCTTTGTTGACAAACTTCATTCAGTTAAATACTGGTACTTTAACCTTAATAATTCTTGTTGTTGAACCTTTGTGAACAATTTCATTGTCATGAAATTTAGTCTGAAATTCGGAAACATTGGCATCTGGAAATTGGACACGAAATTGGCTGAGTGTTCCCTAATCTGGCTCACTTACACAACCAAGAACTTTGAAAAAAAAGGGAGAGCTGTGCAATTCAAAGGACCATACATATTTCTTAGAAATTACTTACAATTTGTCATGAGTTATTATGAAGTACAGTTTCATCCAAAATCGAGTCAATCACTTGGCAACCTGTAGGTGATGTGGCACGCGAGGCCAGAATTATACTGTCATCTCCTTGAAAATATACTCTTTGTGTTTTATGCTCCAGAAGTCATATGACACCTCTGATGTTTGTGTCAAAAAATGGAAACCTGAGTGCAGTGCAGAAATTACTTGAATTTGGAGCTCAGACAGACAGACAAGACAACCGAGGATGGACGGTGAGAAACTTTCAATGTTTTTATAGACAAATCTGGGCAGCCATTTTCTGCGGTGACACCACGCTCACGCAAGTCGCGCTCAGGTAGTATGCACACATTCTGGGCTCCTTCGATGAATAAGAATACCAAATTGCTTCCACAAGAAATGTCTCCACAAGAGTGTGTGTACATGTACATGTACTGTAAGTTGGCCTACAATTGTGTTTAAATAGGGGAAACTATTCCTACGGGTCCACAGATTTGTTTGTACTTCTTTGGGGATGTCTTTTTTGTAATGTTTATGGTGTAGATATTGTTATCTTATTCCATTACAAGTAATACAGGTTGAAAAACTAACTACGTTGCCCTCAGAAGTCCTCAAACTTTCTATTGAAAAAGATTCAGGAGTAACTACAAACATATACATGAACACGAGAGATGGAATGAAAATGTAGCACTCCCAATATAATTGCCAATAATCATGATAACATTGTTGTTTCATGGAGCTACATGAAGGACTGATGTGTTACATGTAAGTCAGCTCATGTACACATGTATGAACAGTGTTGTAGTTGAGTACCAAAACTCGAGTACCAAGTTTTCCGAGTACACAGTGCCAAGTACGGGCCGAGTCCAAGTACTTTTTAGTCGAGTCCTGGGCCAAAAATCCGAGTTCGAGTTTTTCCAGAGTCCGAGTATGTGCCGAGTACAAGTACAAAAATATCGCACACAGTACACATATACAGTAGCACGTACACATATTAAAAAGTGTTGTTTTGCTTGGAATTCTTGATTTGCAGCCCACATGACTTGCATACTGCGCTGTGCTGCTTCTGTCCGTTAGCGAAATATTTCTTGTGATCTCTTAACCCCAAGATATAATTTCTGACGAAGAAGACATGTCTACGTCTGGATCGAACTCGCCGCCATGCGCCAGAGAATGTAACGCGTTTCCAACAAAGAGTGATGTTCACAACCTCTTCCCCATGGATATGATCTTTCTGCGCCTTGTTAGTTAGAAAATGCCTCGTGTGATCAACGCGTATGCAGCCCATGGAAAGAAGGTTGCGATTTATTTCGCTGGTATTCTTGTAGTATTCAGTAGGAATCGAACAGTAACAAATGTGCACCAGCAATACTGCCAGCGCTGCCAATACCCATTCACGAATACTCGATTTAGAGTCAATAAACAGTGGCTTAGCCAGGAATTTTTCAGTGGGGGTGCGCTGGGGGGGGGGGGGGGGGCCTGGAACATTCCATGGGGGGCGTCATGTAGATCAATGATAATTTTTTTAGAAACTCAAAATCTCAGTGGGGGGGGGGGGGCAACTGGGGGGGGGGTGACAAGGTTTCATGGGTGACTGATGGACCACAATTTTCAATTGTGTCTGTGAGCCTCAAACCCATTCTTTTTCTTGAATCATCTTACCATCTCCACAGTTACAAGAAGTAATTATAAAACGTTGAGAGTAAATTTTTATAAAGTTCATTTTTAAACTTAATGGCTTGGCCCCTGTTTTTTTTTTTTGTGGCTGAAAAACACCATTTATGAAAAAGACAATCTTGACATATACCGGGTATCGGCCGAATTTTAGAAATAAGTCAACCACCACAAATACTGACCCTTGAGAGTTATTTGTACAATACTTGTACGATACTTCTTACCGTAACTTCATATTTTGCAACACTCTGTACAAAACCACTGACGTCTATACACATCAACTGCCGGAGACTCTTTACGTGACAATTTAACCTGTCACCTGCGCCTGTGAATATACATTGCCAGATCATGTTTACACATCCTCCAGCGTTAAGTGGTGAAAAATGTATTTACCTGATATTTTCATGACTTTGTTCAGGCACTTTGTTATGCTGCCAATCAAGGATTCACCAGTATTGCTGAATGTCTTCTAAATGCTGAAGCTGATATTCACAAAAGATGTTCGGAGGGAACAGCACGTGATATTGCCTGTAATCGAGGTTATATTGAGGTAGGATTGCAAGCTTACATGTACCCTTCCTGTGCATGTTTGTCTGACATAGAAGATTTGATCTTCATACTGTGGCCATTTTCAGTGACTTGATTTGTGCATGAGCAGCATGACACATCATTCTCTTTGTTTGATAGTGGCTAGCCCCATAAATGTGGCCAATTTACTGGACTACCTCCGTAAATAAAGGCCACACTTCCACCATGTACAAAACCATGTCGAACTTTGTCAAATTTTGATTTTCACATTTAGGCTTAGTTTGTAGTTTATTTTTGCTTTAGAAGCATATTCACCCTCTTCATAGGCTAATCAGAAAGTGCTGCCTTTTTCAGATGTCTATTTTTCATGAAATTTCCAGATTCGTTTTTACACATTTTGCGTATCAAAATTTCAACATGAAATTTCACGAAAATTTGACAAAAAATATTACCATACCTACTTCCGATCAAAATTGGTAAAAATCGCCGACAGGCAATTTTTTATCAGCCGACAGGCTTTTATCAGCCAGTTATTTTTTTCTTTCTGTTGTTATCTGAAAGAAAACCTCATGGTCTAACATTAGTGTGCATGTTGCACCATATCTGGACCACTTGGGTCCTTCGTCACGTAATTGTCGTTGCAACACAGTCCAAAAAGTCTGGTCTGTGCCATGTGTCTCATGTTCCTCAATACACGCACCCACTTTTGTTTTACTGTACTCCCGAGGACAATGCTTTGTGTTTCCCTTTGTCCCTGTAATATAACACTCTACCATAGACTTAGGGCACAAACTTACAACAGAGGACCGTTTTTTTGGGACCGTGTATTTGTTTGGCCAATTTGAAAGTTACTAGAGGAAACCACAATGTGTTATGGCTGGTGTCTAATTCAGTGTTTTTTCTGGCTGGATTGAAATCCTCAAGAATTTTACTAGAGTGGTACCAGAAAATTCACCTAGTACAGTGGAACACCGCTATACCGAACATTCGGCTATACCAAACATCATCCTTGGCTCCCAGATTTGTGTATAAAACATACCAAACATTGTTGTTGAAAAATTCAACAGACTTATAAAAAAACTACGCGTTACAAAATATATATTAACCCTTTAAACTCAGCCTTAATTTTGAGTTTTTTTGACTTAGTTGAATTCTTGCACCTTTTTCATCAGTATTTTTTATTTTGTGTGGGTTAAGTTATTTACCAAATGAAAGAATGTGAGCTAGGCAATCGACAATTTCGGGAAAAAAGGTTTTAAAAAATGTGAACCCCCTCTCAATGGCGGCCATTTTTAAACTTGAATTTTGGGATGTTTTAATCCATTTTTGTGGATTTTTGGCCAAAAAATTATGAAAACAATCTGCTAGGAGATTTTCGAATGCATCACTACAAAATACGACTCTCACTTCATGAGAAAACACTCGAGAGAGCAATTGTGTGCATTTATGGTTGTCATAGTAACCGACCCAAAAGGACACAAATAGTGCGGTTTTGGTGCAAAATGTATGAATTTTGAAGTATTTTGCACAATCATTTATTCACTATTCCATGAGACCAAAAATCACAAATTTTTGTATAAAAACACAAATAAATGCTTTCCACTGAGTTTTTGGAAAATGTTTCCTTGCATAAATAGTGACATGGCATTTAGAATATTGTTCAAATATCATGATTATCATGGCTTTTATGCCAACAAAAAATATTGGAAAGATATTACGTCCATCACTGTACTTGTAGGCCTACTACATCGCATGTCGTTCAGAATGTCTACTGCTGTCAAGGTCTCCTTTCTCTTTATTTTCATTGCCCGAATCAAGAAGATTTAAAACATTTTTGTCAACCAAGTTCCTCTTGGGTTGTTTGTTATCTGCAGTTTTTTTTAGGAGTTTCCCCAGGCAGATTTAGGCAGAAATTAGGGCAAAAGAAGTGACAAAGAGCGTACTTGAATTCACTGTATGTACATGAGGAACGTGAACAGTTATAACAAACCACGCGCGGTAAACAACAGAAGTCTGGCATTTGTTTCACCTCACCTGTGAAAGCGTAACGTTCAGATGCAAAAAGAAAAGACGCCATTGGGTAGCCAGTGTATAAAGCTAAAAAAATGGTATCAAACATGAGTCAAAAGAGGGCGGCAAACACAAAATACAATACTCAGAAATTTTCGATCGCCGGCAATCGATTTTACACAGGGCGGAGTTGAATGGGTTAAACCCTGTTTGGGCCATTTTTTTTTTTATTCTGAACGTCAGACGACCAATATACATCATGTTTGAATGTTAAAGAGTGATAGGTGGCTTGTATTTCCCCAAAGAATAGAAGGGAAAGCTGCCCGTTGCTGAAGTTTTGTAACGACTCTGCATGTGGCCGCTGGATGTGAGAAATACCAGTTCACTATTGGTCAAAAGTGGGCGCCGCTGATATGAGATCCTCTGGTGAAAACTGCTGTAGTGGGTTTTTTCCCTCAAAGCTTAGATTTTGAAAACTAAAGGTTTTTATGAAAGTGAAACTAAAAATAAAAAATAGAAAACATACCTTCATCCCAGCCACTCTGCTCCCTTTTTCCAACTCCTCTCATTTTCTCTGTATTGGTTTTGTTTATTGTGCCGATTTTATTAAGTTCTTCATTCACAATTTTAATTAATACAACTTTACAACCACAATCTTCAAAAATAAAGCCTTATAAATGAACAACTTTTTATATAAACTTTATAGCAATTTCTTAATAAAAATGTTACTTAAAATAAATTTTTTAATTAAGTTAGACAGAATAGTTAAGCAAGCCAGTAAAGCTATTGGTTTACAACTCTTATGTGCAATAAAATTAAGACAGTTCTCCCTGACTCACATCACCCATTACATGCCGACTTCCACACCAACTCCAGAAGTAACCGCTTTTTACAACAAAGGATCAGGACACTGCGATATGGCAGTTCATTCATTCCAGCAGCTATCAAATAGTACAATGAGCAACTGTAACGATGAGCTGTCGTGTGGCTTATTACTCTGATCCCTCATTAACGTAATGTTATTATGTGTATACATGTATGTGTAGCAGTTTGTTTTTTACATGTAATAACTAGATTTATAAGTTTGTGGTTACTTTTGCACTTTTACATCTTTTTAATTAATGATTGTATGTTTTATAACCCCTTCTTTGTCAAGGCCAATTTAATTTCCCTCGTGAGGGGAAAAAAGTTCAATCTAATCTTATCTAATCTTATCTCTAAAAGTACATTTTAAGAAACAGTTTTGAACATCGAAACGGCAAGAAAGGGGGAAATGAATAAACACTTAAATCTAGTAAAAAGAGGGCGCACTTCAAGTAGGGCACTATCAGCTTAAAATCGCTAAATACCAAAACGATCGCTATTAAGAACATTTTCTGTGGATTCCGCGATGTTTGTTATAGCGGCGTTCCACTGTACAAGGAGTCTGCACCTTTTCCAAAGTAATAAACTTGCAATTGTTTTTTGGATGAGTCTTGTGTCTTGAAATGAATCAAATTAAAATGTACAACCACCATAACTTTGTCTGCATCAAAGAATAGCTGACACTGACTTGAATTAATACAGTATGCACATGCCATATGCTTTTACACATGTTACATGTACATGGATCATCTTGCCCTCCATTGTAACCTTTGTCACCGCGTACACCAAAATAAGCTCTACACGAGACCAGTTGTTGCTGTCTACATGTATGTCCCCTTTTTTATTGCACATATCTCCTTGAAGAGCTGGTGAAAACTGAAATTAAATTACATGTACATTTGTGTAAATGACATTTAGTAAATTATGAAATAAGTACATTGTACATGAATCACTATTAATTACACCCAGAATAAACAATATTACACACACGGGTATTAATTAAAGACAAATCACAAATATTTAAAGTGTTTAATTATAAGTTGATAAGTTGACTCACAAGCCGTATGCAGGAACAAATGCCTACGGGTGTACACACGGTGGGAGTCGCAGGGGTATCCTGGGGTTACGGCATCTCCTGGAATTACACAATTAATAACTACAATAAATATTCACAATAATTGGCGAAGCCCGAATTCCAATATCAATATGCCCCAGTCGTAATTGTAGCGAGAGGACTAATGCAAGTCTACAATGTACGATGTACACATGTGCATTAAACATGGCGGCCGTGTGTACATGGTGTATATCGGTCGTCAAATTCAGGCCAAATACACAAGTAAATACAGAGAAACTAGCACCAAAATTTACGCCCAAAATCACTCAGAATATAACTTAATACAGCTATAAATGCCCAAGGATGTTTAATAAAGAAACAAATAATCTATTACTCACAGAAATGGCTACTGAGAAGGACGACGGTCCGTATTCGGCGAGGGTGTGGCAGCGACTCGCTTTCCCAAATCTTCGCTGCGTTTATATACATGTGTGAATGACTACCAAATTATCACGTGACCCGCCGTAGCGGGCTTAATCTAATTAACTATAGAAAATATTCAACGCAAGACCCAAGAAAATTCCAATGATTGTGTAATCAACTAAGAGCAAAGAAATCTTATCAGTGGCGATAACAACCTTATTTGGACATGTTCATCCGAGTTATATAAATATTTTAATTTATTCAAAAAAGAAATTTGTTTGGTTAATTTTAAAGAAGGGTTTTGCAATGTAAATTAGGAATGCTTTCTCTTTGTGTGTTTATACATGTAGGGCTACATATACAGTATAAAGGGATAGAGTATACAAATAAAAGTCTTGACTGCTTTGAGTATATCATTTTTATTTACATTTTGGGGGTTATTTTTTATAGCTTTCGTGGAACAAAAAAGAGACATAATTCTGACGGAAAAAGTTGATGTTCAAAATCAGTGTTTGAAACCACATAGAACCGAGATTTTGCATTTGCACGTTCTGGTACTGGTACATTGCATCAATTTGCCCGCACATCATGCCAGTCATGTGCAAATACACAATTAACATTGCTATATCAACCATTGCATTGATATCACCTGTGTGACCCCCAAGAAAGGG